GGTTTCATTATTCTAAATCACATTGTTTCCTAACAACCTTTCGACCCCTTATTTATTTGTAGCCATGGCATGATGACAAGGATGGTGATTACACGTACGTGGCAGCCCAACCTATCACGGCCGGCTCAGTGGCATTTCTTGTACTTGTCACTTTATGATAGGCTAATACACGATCTCCAAACAACAAATTATTCTATGACAAAGAACCTTGTGTCTTTTGAATGGTAATGCAATCTCATTCTCTTGTCCAATAGCTATTTTTGTTTCTATATTCCTGATTTATTCACTAGATCAATCTGTTTATTGTACAGTTGCACATATAGTTTGTCAAAGATGGTTTATTTAGTCAAACCCTAAATTTATTGAGAATAAGATTTGGTGCGTGACAAATAATTTCTCATATATAGTACAAATTTTGTCTCGTTCTATTTGTTTGAAGTTTGTCGTATTTAAAACATGATCACTTAATGAAAAGTTAAAGGGTTTGACAAGAAAAGGTGGGGAAGATGTCCTACAATGGGGTTTCATGTTATTAACTTTTGATTCGAAATGGCCAAATTCTTATTTGCCAAAACCCTCTGTGATTTGTTTATTAATGGTCGGTCTCCTTCTAGAAAACATGTAATCAAGATTAGGTTTTTACCCACAAAACATCAATGAAGACACTAAGTTACCATTTTTTTTGTTTTCACACTCTGCAACACGTAATCTTAGGAATTGAGCACAAAATCTATTCCAAATTATTGCACTTACAAATATTATAATATTATAATTCATAACTGGAAATCTTGATTCAGACACTGATGGGGATCTTAGCATGCTTTGTTTTCTAATAGAATGGTTGTCCCCTTTTCATTTATTTATTTATTTATTTATTTTTTTGTGGTCCCAAATTTGTCCAATTTGTTTTGAAAAAATGAAGGGCTTGAGAAATGGCAAATGGATTGAATATTCGATTTGTTTTCAAGATTATTTGTTTCCCACATTTTTGTTTGTTTGAAGAAAACACAAAGTTTCGATTCTCATCAATCCTCGACATCATGTCTAATATAAGAACAGAAACACTAAACGACACTTTATATTCAATAGTTATAGCTTTGGCTCATAAATCTGTTTTGTTATTTTGTTGAGTTCGTTGCTATATCCATTAAAATATTCAATGCAAAGTTTAAGCATAACACTGGGTGGTCACTTTTTTCTTGGAACATGTACTGGACCGATATCGAATTCAATCGGACAATTCAAATGAACTCAATTTCAAATAAAATTTTATCTGAATTCAAGTACAGAGCACAAAATGAATAGAAGAGAAACAATCTTAAAAATATCAAATTTGATCAGGTTTGGCTTCATCTATGAACATGGTTCCATGTATAGAATTCTAGTTGATACTCATTTTGGCCTAGTTCTTGAATTTTCTCGGGTAGAATCCGTTCGTGTGGACCTCATTTTTGTGAATGACACGTGAATCTCCATATGCATCCACAGAAAAGAAGGAAACAGACATTGTAATAAAAACCCCTCAAAGATTTGTTATGTAAATATTATCTTGGAGGGTCCATTCATGCCCTTTCAAAGACAAGCAAGAAATCAAATCAACCCCATCAACAAGAATAAAAGGTATGAAATGAACAAGGGAAAATTAAACTATAATCAAATTAAATGTGTTCACTACAACGTAAAACAAACAAAAAAGCATCATTTCAGGCTGGTCCAAACTATTGGTGTAAGCGGTCCGATTTTATCAATTTTTGACAAATTTTCAAACCAAACCGTTTAAACTGGTTTGAGAAAAATCCAAACCTAAACCAAATCATTTTGAACGGTTTGAAAAAAACTCAAACCTAAAGTTAATGGTTTGGTCCAATTTTGCTAGATATTTTTTTGTCTGTCTACTTTTATATCATTAATTCATTGAATTCAATATATATTTATATCTTACAAGCAATAAATTTAAAACAAAATAAGCCCTTGTTTGAACCAATTTTTTGAGACAAAAAAATGAAAATATGGACTGTTATCCCACAAGTCCAGCTGCCTTTGTTGACTTACTGTTTCATGTATAGGACCCAGCCTCCTCTCCAAATGTCAATTTTCTCATTATGATGATATGAAAAATATAGCTCAAATATGGGCTAAATATATCTACTCTAAATTTAAATACCAACTAAATCAAAGTGAAATCACAATAAACTAAAACATAATTTTTTTCATTTTTGTTAACCTTTTTTAGGCTAATGACGATACAGTAACGTTACAATACTAGTCTACTAAACTAGATATAAAGCCCAAAAAACATAATGATGTCCAACAAGACCTCGCGATCATCGTATCTGAAAAAATGATACTGATTAGACAAAAAGAATAACCAATCACAATAATAAAGCAATTATTTATAATATCTAAACATAACAATTACACAAATTTACGTTTGTATAATGTTACGAAATTAATTTCAGATTCTTACCTTAATTTGTTCCAAAAAAATTATTGGTCTGAAACTTTATTTGTAGCAAATATCATCACAGAAGATCTAGTATCTCTGTCTCTGATTTGGCATAATGGGCTTTAATTCAATTTTGAAGAAGTGTGAAAAATTTGAAAAAAAAAAAAGTATGCGGTGCCGGTGGCTCAAAACTGTGTTGGGTGTCGGCTGGAGTTCATCTAAATACTGAAAAGGAAAAGGGTTTTTGATATATTATGTTAGTCTTGAGATTATTAGATATAAATTAAGATTATTGGATAATAATAATATATCTATATTAGAAAATTAGAAATTGATAAAAATACCCACAAATGACAAAACTATTGAATTTTACATATTTGAATAAATTTTCAAAAAATTTCATTTTTTCACTTTTTTATTTTTATATATTTTTTCGTCGGTCCAGTTCGGTTTTAAACTGCAATTAAAATTCTCAAACACACTGGTTTGGTTTGGATCAGAACCATTTCATTGATTGGGTCCACGTGACACCAAGTTGACGATTTTTAAAATGTGATTTCGATTTGACGATTTTTGCTTACAACCCTAGTCCAAACCATGTCATCATATAAGCAAAGAGAAGACTTTCGGTGTCTTCTTCAACACGTTCACTCGTAAAAATAAAAAAATAAAAAATTGCATATTCAATATTGAACCATTTAAGAACACGTTTTTCAGCCAATCAAAGGAATTAGGCCATGGGTCACACACGACGAATAGGCAAATGGCTCTTAATCCAAGAAAGTAGAATTCCTTAGGAAATTCACGTGTCATATGGACCTCTTTTGGCCTGCAAATCCTTCTAATCCAATCTACAAATTAGATACGCAATGTTTGCTTTTTAGACTACAATGGCTATCAGAGGAATATAATCATAAAAATCCAAGTCATGACGACATAGTTGAGCCATACTAGTGATTGTCAACAGACTAATGCTACCCAGTTTACTTAAAAAATAAAAAAAAAAATAAAGAAATGGTTGAACCCCAACCTTAAGAGTCCCCATCGACCCTGCTCTGGGCCATCGTGGAGGAGGTAAATCGCAGGATGTGCCTCCCAGGAGACAGGGTGGAGAGCACATGGATAGGCCAAGGCTGTTAACCCATATGGTAACTCCCGCTTGCAACAAAGTCAATTCCACCTTGCGGGGAATCGAACTCTGCACATTGCCGCGCTGAACCCTATCCGCCCTCCCCTATGTTACTGGGAGATATGCCCTCGGGACATGCTACCCAATTTACTGTTTATACATTCTGCATATTGCAACCTAATCCTTAACATGGTATATTAGGAAGAGCAGTGCCATTCGTACAGAAATTATTGTACAGAACTCTTACAGAATACATACATGCAGGATGGGTGAGTTATTTTTTGCAATATTTTAATTTACCCCATCTTAGACACATCCGTAAGATTTCTAGAATTTTTTTCTGTACAATAAGCATTAACCTATTAGGAAGGATCCGTAAAGATTTTGTGTTTCATAGAAAAAAGTTGTGTTTGCTTTTCTTTTCTTTTCTTTTCTTTTTTTAAACAATTATGTACACATTTTCTATTACTGATATTGAATTTCTCGAGATCGATGAACATGTTGTTATTATTATTATTATTATTATTATTATTATTATTTTCAATTTGAAGCTATTCGATTGATTTTTTTTTTTCTAGATGTGTTTAACGATATTCCTAATTATTTGATTTTTGATATGAGAGTATTGAGATTTCTATACGAGTCTTACGTCGATAATAGTAGTTGATAGTTTTTTTTTTTAAGTAATCGTGTTGATCTAATAATTAGGAATATCGTTATACACATCCAAAGAAACTGAAATTGAATATTGTGATTTCTATACGAGTCTTATCTTATGTCGATAATAGTATTTGATAGTTTTTTCAAGTAACCGTGCTGATTAAACTCACCTTTTTGGGGTTATTTATTTCAACATGTTACCAATTATTTTGAAATATTATTAAATTAAGTAACCTTAGAATATAGTTAACTAAAGTATTGTCTTTTTCTTCACTTTTATTGGTCAGGTGTAACAAACTTGACATAGATAACGATGTCAAACATAAAACTAAAACATGACTTGAAATTGTACAAAATGTAGTTTCAAATTTAATTACATAGCATCCGAGAAGATAATTACAAGTGTACACGTGCATATATGCAAAAGTGTATGTGACGTATAGATAATTAGTTCATTGTCCCTCGATCTTTTCTTTGTGTTCATCATTAAAATCAAATATTAATATCGATAGTTCACACTATTTCATGTAAATGTATATAAAAAAATTATATACAATAATAAAACGAATTCATTTTTATAAACTTTCAAATCTAATGGAAAGTATGTGAAAATGTGAGAAGATCTATGAAAAAAATACTTGCTTGAGACTTTCTTGTTCAACTTGGTTTATGTGGTGATGGCTTTCTCTTTGCAAACAAGAGCCCAAAAAGGAAAAACTAAAAAGAAAGTCTTGAAAAGTATCCACCCAAGTGAGCAGTCATCATAACACACAAGATAAGTTGACTCTTCAACCCAAAACCATCTCTTTAAATTCCCTCCCTCCCTACTCAACTCTTCACCTCTGCCTCTTCTACATATCAACTTTTGAGTGTTCTTACAACACAAAAGAAAAAAAAGGATCAAAAAACATGAAATTCACATCCAAACAAAGTAACATTCCTCCCATCAGAGGCTTCACAATTTTGTTAATAGGTTGCTTGGCTATAAAACTAAGCCTCTGTTTCTCTAGTTTTCCATCTTCACTTAAGACACTAAATGTTGAAGGGCATTTTAGTTTTGACAACAATGAATTTGCAGCCAGAGATTTCGGAAACCGGTTCCAGTTCCTTCCATCGGCAGTTCTGCACCCGAAGTCGGTGTCTGATATTGCCACCATTATAAAACATATTTGGCAAAAGGGTCCTGGTTCCAAGCTGACTGTTGCAGCTAGAGGCCATGGACACTCACTCCAAGGCCAAGCACAAGCACCACAAGGGGTTGTAGTCAGCATGGAATCACTCAGTGGGCAAGAAATGAAGGTCCACACGGGCCGATTTCCTTATGTTGATGTCTCGGCTGGCGAGTTATGGATCAATATCCTGCATGAGTGCCTCAAATTTGGGTTAGCACCAAAATCTTGGACGGATTACTTACATCTAACAGTTGGTGGTACTCTGTCCAATGCCGGGATCAGTGGACAGGCTTTTCGGCATGGCCCCCAAATCAGTAATGTCCACCGGCTTGAGGTCATCACAGGTTTGTATGAGAATTTGTTTTTGATATTACTGAATCCAACTAATATGCAAGATCACCCTGTTTTTCAAAGATCATTGGAATATATAGGTAATTTAATTTGAATTTATCAAAGAAAATTACATCAACTTGTATGGATTTTTCACCAATGCAAACTTATTGCAGGAAAAGGAGAAGTGAGAATTTGTTCAGAGGAGCAGAATGCTGACCTCTTTCACGGAGTTCTCGGTGGACTTGGCCAGTTTGGTATAATAACTCGAGCAAGAATCTCTCTAGAGCCAGCACCAAAGATGGTAAAAATTTACCAATCCTGCCAAAACTCGATTATAAGCCTTTGGAATAACAGAATAGTTTGACAAACTTGTACTTTAACTGTCAACAGGTGAAATGGATCAGAGTACTTTATTCAGATTTCTCCACTTTTTCCAGAGATCAGGAGAATCTAATATCTGCAGAAAACACATTTGATTACATAGAAGGCCTTGTGATGATCAACAAGACGGGTCTCATTAATAACTGGAGATCATCTTTCAACCCGCAAGATCCAGTTCAAGCCAGTCAATTCAAGTCGGATGGAAGGACTCTCTTTTGCCTCGAATTGACGAAAAATTTTAATCCCCTCGAGGCTGATAAAATAGATCAGGTGAGGAATATCACAATCCAATATTTTAGTACATGGTCACAACTATGTGAATGAAAAGGCCTTAATATTCAAATTTATCAACTCTGATGCAGGAAATTAAGAGAATCTTATCTCAATTAAGCTACATCCCCTCAACGCTCTTTATGTCAGAAACTTCTTACGTAGAATTCTTGGAAAGGGTTCATACAGCCGAGCTAAAACTGAGATCAAAAGGATTGTGGGATCTCCCACACCCTTGGCTCAATCTCCTCGTTCCGAAAAGCAAAATACAAAGCTTTGCTGAAGGTGTTTTTGGCAACATTTTAACGGATACAAACAAAGGACCCGTCCTTGTCTACCCAGTAAACAAATCAAAGTAACAACTCATCACAACAACTTGTTCACTCGATCAATTTTTAAAGCTCCATATTTACATATTTTTTATTTTTCAGGTGGGACAACAGAACTTCAACTGTACTTCCAGAAGAAGACATTTTCTACCTTGTGGCATTCCTTTCCCAAGCAGTTCCTTTCTCCACAGAAAATGACGGCTTGGAACCTCTGTTAAGTCTAAACAAAAGAATTTTAGATTACTGTGAGGTGGCCCACTTGGGAGTAAAACAATATCTTCCTTATTATACCACACAGGAGGAGTGGAGGGCCCATTTTGGCAAACAGTGGGAAGTCTTTGTACGTCGAAAATCAGCATACGATCCTCTAGCAATACTTGCTCCGGGGCAGAGAGTTTTTCAAAAGGCAATATCCATCTTATGACAGGAAAAACTACGGTATAAAGGAAAGAGTGGACTAACAGCATTTTCAGGCAATGCATAAAGGCTCAGCAACTTCATGTGGAGGGAATGGATTTACGAAATTTAGAAAAATACAGGAGCTGCAATTAGTATATAAATATTAGTTCGATATTTCTTGCACCATCTCAGCAACTATAGGTATAAAGAGGAGGCTCTAAACCAGTTAAAGTTCAATCAAAACTTCATTACATATATAAATTATTTTATATCAATTCATGATAACTTAGCAGACAGCTAAATTTTCAGTTCTGGAAATAATAGAGCATAGTTTCTTCTACAGTAACTTAATTCCTAAAGCGGGTAAAAAAAATAAAAAAAATAAAAAATAAACCAAAACTCTTAAAAGTAATATTCTTCAACCATTCGCCATAATGTGAAGGAGAAGAGGAAAATAATGCTCAAGACATGAAATTGATGCGATTTGCACAAATAACAAACATAATCGATCATCTGCAGACCATGGACACATAAAAATGAGAAAGCGATGAGTTGAAAGAGTGAGATGAATCTTCAAGCAGCATCAATTGGCCTATTGTTGGGTACAAGTATTTAAACATCATTCCGGTGAAATTGCATGCTGTGCCATGCTACAAAAATGATTGCTAGAATTACATAAAGACCTCTGCTTAAAATCACAAAATAATCTCTTTTAATTCAATCATGTGAAATGGATTAACTTCTTCAGGAATTGTCCTTGTACGGTATGAATTCATTCACATAATTACATTTTTTTTGTACCATATTACTGTGCTGCTTTACTATCATCAAATTATTTGGTTCTCAAATTCATAATGATACATTTGTTTATGTAGTAGAAATACTAAAATAACTTACAACTTTGATGTCTAAGACATGAGAGGACAATTGTAACATAATGAATATTAGCAGAGGGCAATTTGAAGCTATCTGAATGAATTAAAAACTGTGAAAATGGTTGTTCGGAAGACATATCATTGTAACCCTTCAATTGACAGGATTGCCAGCTGTCATAATATACAATGAAAGTAAGCAAAAGCTCATCAGATTAATGAAGACTATCAATGTTTTAACAGAAGTAACAAAGTTCACCTTGCTACACCTTAACCCAAGAAAAAGAAAGAAAATTATCGTGCCATGAGTTTGATATGCTTATTTCCATGATTATCCTTAAAACTCCTTAAATTTTCACATTTTTTCCTAGTTGAATTTTATTTGGCTCAACCTCTTTTTCATGTTTGTATAAATCCAACAGATTACAAAACATAAAAAGTTCACGAAGAAACTGTTATATTTTGATACCCAATGAATCACAGGTTATGATGTAAACGTCGGAACATAATTTCACAAGCCTCGACCAATGTTGAACTGATTACCAACAACCATGTCCAAAGGTTCAACCCGAAAACAACGTGAATTATTGGAAGTACTTAAGAAATTAATGTTGCTCACTGCCCATGTATATTTACCTATTGGATGGCTTTGAATCTTGGCCCATTAACCTTATTATTGGTCCAACTAAAGCCTAACTTATTCCTATATATGTGTTGCTTTGACCTAGCTGTCTAAATGTGTGATTTGTGTGTGAAAGAGTGAAAAAACGTGGCTGCCATTGAGAGGAAGAAATCCGGCTACTTTGTGCTTCCGAAACTAGTGGTTTCTTTGTATTATTGGTCTTCTCATCGTGCCCTCTTTTATTTCTTTATTCTTGCCTTTGTAGCTTACAAATCAACACCGTTATTTTTTTCCTTTATGGGTGAAATTGAGAAGCAATCGAGGTAAATATATTGGTTTTGGGTTGAAGCTGTTTGGATTAACTGTTTGGTAGAGAAAGGTGACCTGAAGCTAAGCCCAAAAAATACCATTTAGAAGAACTTTGGAGCAAGCTTCTGTGACAAAAATATTGAGCCCCTGTTTGACAAAATTTTTTTTGGAAAGAACGAGTTTTTGTAAATTTTTGGAGAATGAGTGGTTAAAAAAGTAATAAAAAGTTTTGGATTTACGCAAAGAATATTTTATTGTGAGAATGTATGATTGAAAATGAGTATGAGAAAACAATATTGAGAAAGAATGGTTGTCAAATAGGGCACAGAATCAGCATGCCAGAATAGTTTTGAGCATTTGTGCAAATAGTTCAAAAATGGAAGCTTCTGTAAGCCAACAGTACTCTAGGAATAACAAAATGAAAAGATATATTCATACATCAACCTCAATGATCTTCATGCATTTGTACCTAAAAGTTCAAACGATTCTCCTCAAAACTCCAGTCAGCCAAGTCAAACATAGCTTCAATTCTTACATTGAATAACAGGACTTTCCACCATAATATTCATAAAGAAGGCTGGTTTTTAAACAGAAAATAATTGATGGATTTCATAAATCAAACTAATCATGGAATTATTCTATACAGTATCTGCACCTGATGACTGCACACGATAAACGTAGCTAAGAGGGCAACATTAAAAAAAATCACAGCGTAACAGAATGTGCATGTCATTGATATGTTGTCGGATTGTAACGCACAGAAATACAACCTGGAAGTTTAATCTCTCCTATCTATTGTTACCTTTGACTAAGAGTTGCTGTCTTCCTGTACATTTGCATCAGTTGTTGCTTTCGTGGTGACAGTATCAAATAATGTCAGTGAAACGCACATCAAAGAAAAGGCGCAAACACACTGGAAAGAGCATCAATTCAAATCTTAATCAGTGGTAGCTAGAAAATGTAAAAACTGATGAGCAACATTCAATATTTACTGGTTGTTTTGCTTTCAAATAATCCATTCTTCGTGCTACCTTTCCAGTTAAAGTAGCATAGCATGATCGTGCATTGAACACCAACAAGGAAAGGTAGTTGCTCCCATGATCACAAAAGCAGAGACATTTCATCAATAACAGTGAAAAAATGATTCCTGAAGATGATAAAATCCACAAAAGAGGATCAAGTTGAACTCGAGCACTCCTCAGAACCCAATGCCCAAAGTCAATGCAAAGAAGTTACACATACAGAACACTTTTTGACACACTTTAACAGACTACGATAGGCCAGAATGCTGAGAAGATCAAACTAAATTTTCCATTCTCTTAAACTCTCAACTTTGGTAGATTCCTATCATATTGGTCTTATCAAAATTTTGTCTTTAAATTACTACGTGACTGTGCATGTTGAATTGCAAATAGCTGGAAGATTTACAAAGCTAATGCACTCAATTTCATCATCTTATAGTTCTTTAAAGTATTGAACCATAGTCATCCCCAATGTTTACAATATACTCACATTCTTATGTCTTCAATTGAAATTATTTCCCCATTCAAGGATCATGGAATTCGACCCTAAACCTGTAGTTATTTAATTGATGTTTCTCACCACTTACTACCATCTTGCACATGGTATTGAACAAGCTTTAATAGTTATTGAACATGGTATTGCACATGGTATTGATAAGAATTGGCATCTTAAGTTGGAGTTGAAAATCTGAAAGTTAGATATAAATTCTTATCGTTATACTGAAAACTAACAGCTAAGAGAATCCTTCATGGTTACATCATGTATGTGCATGTGTGTGTATATATATACAGTCATGATCTCCTAAGCACCGATGCTTAACTTATGTTAAACACCGAGTGACGTAGCACACCATTCATTGTAGTGTACCACCTAAGCATGGTGCTTAGCTTATACTAAGCATCGGTATTTGGAAGATCAAATCCATATATATATATATACACCCACATTAAGCACCCCCATCACCTTCAACTGTTCCTCAGATCCATACCTCCACTCTAAATAAGCTTTTGCAAGAGCACTTGCCCTGTAACGGAGCCCTTTGTACTCTATCCTGATCTTCATTCTCCAAGTAGGCAGGGACTGTGTACAACTTTTCCTGCTCTTCTACGTTGAAAAGAACTCCTCAAGTGGACATGAAAAGATATGTAAAACAATATATATCAATTAACATGGACATGCATATAAAACATTATACACATTATTTTACGTGTATCATGATGTAACAGAGACGTTTTCATTTCTGATAAATGTCCAAAGCCAATGCACCAAATAAGTGCTAGTGATTCACTGCCTTGTTACTAACAAGGGCAAGTTCCATTAAATAGACTATTGGCATATGTAGTATGTTGGGTTGAACACAAACGTATAAAACAATCACAAAAATATACAACCATATCTTTCTTCATTGATCTTTCCAATCCAACTTATCAAACATATCCACAACTAACCACAAGAAAATGTGAGTTAACTGTTGTGATCAAATCTAGCAGGGGCATAATTCGTAAAGGCCTCCAAACATTAGCTTCTTCTCCTATGTATCCCAGAAAAAGGAAAATCTAAAATCAGAATTTCAACAACAATATTATCAACTTTACACAACTAAATTAGCATGGACCAAAATTCAGAATCAATAATAAGAACCCATAAGCCTTTCTTTGCAATACTTCATTGCACTCCTACCCATCTCACAATTCATCCAATAAACTCGACCTAGTGGCTTTGAACAAAAATCCACTCAAATTAATTACGAGCTTAATTAGCAATTGCAATGTTACACATGTCAATGGGAATGAAAAGTAAGGCAGGACTTATGTATTCTCTTTTAATTATTTCATCGGAATGCGTTAATAATTAATCGTGATTATAACGTATATCGAGCATACAACATTACAAGGAAATAATGTATGTGAAATAATTTCAAATTATTGTTTAAATAATGTATATCTGGAACTCTCAGTAGAAATCATACGATTTATTGTGGTGCATGGTGGAGAGTTTCAAAACGTAAGTAACGAATGTATATGGCCTGGAAGCAAGACAACTTCTGTTGAGGTAAGAAGGGGCATAACGTATCGCGACGTTGTTGACATAGTGAAGGCTCGATTGAGAGTCGATAGGGTTTACAATCTGAACTTGAAATTTAAAGTTCTGAGCGTGAACCTTCTTTCCCTCTGTCAACGAGGAAATACACAAAAATGACATTTACACTGTAGCAAAAATTGACATTGGCCTTTGACCAATTAAATGAATTAAAAATAAAAACAAATTAAGTTAAAAATAAAACTTCACAGTATTTTCCCATTTTACCCTTCAGACTGTTTGATAATTCTCTCACCGACCGAACCGACCGACCCGTCGACCAGTGGAGAAATCCGACCGACCGACCACCGGAGTTACACCAACGTCGCAATCAATGATCATCACCTACAGTGGAAGTAAAAGAACCGGTTAGTTTTCTGATCAAAACTCCAGTTCGAATGCTTTTTTTCATAGTTAGCATCCTTAGTAATTTTG